AATTAATTCTATTTCATTAAAAATTCTAATTAATTTTAAACTAATTCCTAATAACAATTCTAAAATTACTAACTTAAATATAAAATCCTAAAATATTTCTAAAGTTACTAACTTAACTCTAAAATCCTAAAATATCTCTAAAATTACTAACCTAATTTTAAAATCCTAAAATATCTCTAAAATTACTAACTTAAATATAAGATCCTAAAATAATTCTAAAAACCAACTTAAATCTAAGATCCTAAAATATCTCTAAAATAACTTTAATATCTAAAAACTATATAATTCTAGAAACTTATTAAATAAAAATCTATTTAAAAAATAAATCTATACAAACTCTATTCCTATTTTTTAAATAATAAAATATAAGATCCTAAAATAATTCTAAAAACCAACTTAAATCTAAGATCCTAAAATATCTCTAAAATAACTTTAATATCTAAAAACTATATAATTCTAGAAACTTATTAAATAAAAATCTATTTAAAAAATAAATCTATACAAACTCTATTCCTATTTTTTAAATAATAAAATAACAACCTATCTAAAAAAATGTAAATGAAATATGTACAAAATAAAAAAACAAATGAATCATAAAAAAGAAAAAAAAAGAAGGTAAAAAGGGCTGGGACAAGATTCAAACCCCCATCCTTCAGCATCACACACACAAGTCCATCCACTGGGACGCGTATATGTCCATTAACAATGTTGGACAAATAAATATATATCACATAAACATTAAAGAAAATCAAAATGAGAAAAAAAACTAATTTTTAAATTCTAAATTATAATTTTAAGATTATTTCTAAAATATGATTAAAAAAAACTAAATAATTCTATCTATTTCTAATTTTAAATCTAAAATTCTAAATTAATTCTATTTCATTAAAAATGCTAATTAATTTTAAACTAATTCCTAATAACAATTCTAAAATTACTAACTTAAATCTAAAATCCTAAAATATTTTTAAAGTTACTAACTTAACTCTAAAATTCTAAAATATCTCTAAAATTACTAACCTAATTTTAAAATCCTAAAATATCTCTAAAATTACTAACTTAAATCTAAGATCCTAAAATAATTCTAAAAACTAACTGAAATCTAAGATCCTAAAATATCTCTAAAATAACTTTAATATCTAAAAACTATATAATTCTAGAAACTTATTAAATAAAAATCTATTTAAAAAATAAATCTATACAAACTCTATTCCTATTTTTTAAATAATAAAATAACAACTTATCTAAAAAAATGTAAATGAAATGTGTACAAAATAAAAAAACAAATGAATCATAAAAAAGGGAAAAAAAAAGGCAAAAAGGGTTGGGGCGAGATTCAAACCCCCATCCTTCAGACATCACACACACAAGTCCATCCACTAGGACGGGTATACTTCCATTAACATTTCAAACCCCCATCCTTCAGACATCACACACTCAAGTCCATCCACTAGGACGGGTATACTTCCATTAACATTACAAATAAATATATATCACATAAACATTAATGAAAAAGATAAATTAAAAAAGATTGAAATCTACAAAAATACCCTTAGGCCACGTGTCACACTTATATTAGGCAAAATAGTCGGGATTTGAAAAACGCCCAATCGGGGGGTGGACACGTGTCTAAACGGCATGAAATTAAGTAAAAATGCAAAATAAAATACGAAAATATTTACAAAAATTGGCGGGCAAATTTAGGGTATGACAATGCTAGAATAAGCTCAAGCTGTGAACTATCAGACTCAGGGGGAGCTTGTGAACCTCATACTCTGTTGCTGTAGAGAAAACTAAATGCCCAACATTGTCCTTTAAATACTTGTGTTTGTCGTCATAAAAAGGGGGAGATTGTTAGAACAAGATTTGTTCTTGATATTTTTTCTTTAGTTCTGATGATAACAAAAGTATTAAAAGAACAATGGATATTTGATGTGTGTTTTATTTATGCAGGTTCTTGTACATAAATAATCAGAATCTATTTACTTAAGATACACTTGGAGTTATCTCATTGCTAGCTTCTGGTGGCAGAGTCTGAAGAACAATTTTTAGTGTGGCTTAACGCATACTCTAAGCTGAAGGCCTCAACATTCAAACGAGTTTCTACACTTATTAATGGTATATCAGCTTCTGGTACCATTCAAAGTTGGTAATAAAGCTATGGACTACCCGTACTACTGAAACCATGTTGTGTTGTCTTATCAGTATGTCAGCTCGAGTCTACAGTATTATAAGGCTCAAGAAAAGCTGGTACGTTCTATGGATGTCTACTCCCAACGGGTCTATTAGTACAAAACCTCTTGAAGACTCAAAGGTTAAATGTGTTACACAATGGATTTAGAAATCTGTTGTGCATTCATCTTCAGCGTCTCTTGTACTTTGGAGCAGAAGCAAAAACAGTTGATCAAGTAACCTTTTCAAAGGCTAGTTTTTGGAAAGGCTATATATATGGCTGAAGATTCAAGCCTAAATTTTTAACAAGGATTCTTCCTTTGAAGGAGTAGCAAGATCAAGAAATTATCAACTCTATGTAATAGGAAGATTTTCAGTTGTAGGTTGTAGTTGTAAAAGCCTTAAGATTTATTACCCCTGTATATATTTAGAAATCTTAAGTGCTTTAGGTCTTTGCTATGGTGATCTCCCGTACCTCTGATGCTCACATCATGTATACCTTGTTCTCTATTCTGCTGAGCCTTCAATAGTTTAGATTACGTCTCCTGCTATGTGCTAGAGCAAAAAGTCTTGTCTCATTGGGATTCAAGAAATAAGTCTTGAGCCAAGATGCTTAAGCCACATAAATCTCATTGCTTAAGGGCTTGAGTTATAAAAGTATTATTCAGCCAATCTGATTGAGCAAAAGTAAAGTCTTAGACATGTACTCTAAGCAAAGGTAAGTCTCAGTCTAAAGACAGATGAGCAGGTAGCTCAGTCTGATGGTGTGAGCAATGAAAAGTCTTAGACATATGCTCTAAGCAAAGGAAAGTCTTAGACAGAAGACAAATGTGCAGGTAGCTCAGTTAGATGGTGTGAGCAAAGGAAAGTATCAACCAGAAGGAAGATGAGGAGGCGGCTCAGTATGATGGTGTGAGCAAGGGAAAAGTCTTAGACATACGCTCTAAGCAAGAGAAGTCTCATATAGTTGGTCTGAGCAGTTGTAAAAGTCTTATGCAGAAGCATAAGCAATTATAATCATGAAGTGATTAATATGAAAAGATCTTCTGAGGCAAGGGAGCTGAACTACTCTCAGTTAAGGGAGGAACCAGTATAAATCTTTTGTGTCTTCTGCAGTTATTTTATTTACTTCTGTTGTATCCGCTGCCAACTGCATTAACACAAAATCTGAACATAAGTTCTGATTTTGAGACTCTAATTAGAAGCTAAATAATAAGAAAACACGAAATACAATTCAACCCCCTTCTTGTATACTTTTCACACCTTCAATAACAATAGTGGTGAAGAATCTACCACCGATGGAGAGATGGAACAAGGAGGAGACATCACCCAGAGTGATAGTCATTTCCCCAAACAGAAGATGAAATGAAGATGTCTAATTGTGCCATCTCTCAATAAAATTAGTAAGAAGTGAAATGTCGAGCATGGTGTGTGAGCAATCGGTAAATGAGAGAAGACCAAAATAGATTCTTAGGGAAGTTCTTCATCTTCGACCTGTGCGATGTCACCTTCAGCGTTAGACGGTCATGTAACAAACAAAGTTAAACAAATTTCTAAGTTAGATTTTAACATATCATGGAACAATAATAAATAAATTAAAGTGAAACATAAAATATATATACCTCTCCCTGCCATTATCGGTATGCCACATGGTCAGCATACTCTGTAAGCAGTGATGACCAATGGGTCCTCCAAGGAACTTTCAATATGTGTGAACAGACGGCTCTGTCGAAGTAGGACATGTAACCTCTGTATCAGTAGTAGCAGAAGAGATCGAATTTGTGGCAGCCACTTCATCAACAACAAGGGCATATGGCTCGACCACCTCATTAGCAACACGGGCATCAGTCTCGGCCACCTCAGCTGCAACCTCATCAGCATCAGGTAGCGCATATGTCTCGACCACTAGGTTATGAACAACCTAACCCTGCACCTCTTGAGCATGGACAACCTCAACATCATCTATGAGCTGCTCCTCTGATCTTACTGCTCGACGTTGGGTAGTATGGGGTGCGTGCACTCCCCCTGCTCAGCCAATCGTTTATGATGTGAACCGGTTGGAACTACTCGTTCAATCTGTAGCTAGGAAGACTTAGCCTCAACAGTCCTAGCCTGAGTTGTCGCTCTATCTGTGGCCTACCTGTAATCGTGTCGTCTTTTCCCCTATATTTCAGTGCAAAAACGAAGAAAAAAAAGCAACAAAATATCAACTAACTTCTGAAAATTTTGTAATTTCCCACATATCACAAGAAATTATGAAATTTTCGAGAAAAATCCAAATTTTTTGAATTGCCGAAAATCCATAATTTTTTAGTACAATGTTATAAAAAATATCAGGAATTCTAAAATTTTCACAAAAAATGTATATAAAAAAATAACAAATTTCAGAAATTCACTGTACAAATTCAAAGGATTCGCACAGAAATTTTAAAATTTTCAAAAAAAATTTATTGTTTTCAAAATTTTTGATAGGGATTAGAATTTCTTATATCGCTCTGAATTTTTTAAAATTTACGCGAATTTTAAATGGACTTTAAACATAATTGAAAATTTTATAAGATTAATATAGTCACTTCATTAAATTTAGGGTGCCGACTACAATAATAGGTTACAAATTAAATGCTCCACAAATTTAGACTTAAAATTTCTAAAGCCCAAAATCTAATGAACCCAAAGTTAATTTATAAATTGAACATCAATCTATTAATTAACTTTTTTTTATATAATAGATAGATTCAATTCAACTATTCAGTGGTGTAACTTAAAATTATTTGTCTGGTATCATTATCGCCGACTCCAAGGGTTCAACTTCGACAACAATAGAAACCATGAAGCCGAGTCATTCGTCATCGACGGCTCTCCCCAACGAGCTTCTGGCAGAAATATTTTCCCTTCTCAGAGTGAAATGTCTCATGCGATTCAAATGCGTTAACAAATCTTTCAATTCTCTCATCTCGGATCCTTACTTCATTCACATGCATCTCAACAAATCACAACGAAACCCTAACCTCACACTAATTTTGCAACAAAATTACAAGTTTAGCGATTGCAATGTCACAACCTTTCCAATATCTGGTATACTCGATACTCCGTTAACGACGGTTCAATTCGATCATTACTATGACTTGAACGAGAATAACTCTAGTTGGTGGATTGTTGGTTCATGCAATGGATTGCTCACTTTAATTGATACGAGTACTCCACCTTTTAATTGCGATTCGCGCATCTGTTTCTGGAATCCAGCCACTAGGGCAAAAACCGAATACTTTTTACCATCTTCGAATATTTCCTTTCAGTTCGCTTTTGGTTATGATACTTTAAATGAAATCTATAAGGTGGTAGCATTTCATGTAGAGTTGGATGTGAAACGTCGTAAAACAAATATGGTGAAGTTTTGTAATGCAAGAAGCATGGTGAAAGTTTTCAGCATGGGGAATGATTCTTGGAGAAATATTCAATCTTTTCCGGCGCTTCCGTTTTATAGGTTTAATAATAATAGTATCAACAATGGTGTGTATTTGAGTGGTACTATGAACTGGTTGGCTCTTCGCGATTACTTTTGTTTCAATTATTTGTTTTGTTCGAACGAGGGTAGTATTGATCTTGACCAATTTGTGATTGTTTCACTTGATCTCTCCACAGAGACATATACTCAATTTTTGCTACCTCAGAGTTTTGATAAGGTGCCACGTTTTCCACCCGCGCTTGTGGTTTTGAGGGATTGTCTTTGTTTCTGTCATGATTTTGAGGAAACTTGTTTTGTTATATGGCAGATGAAGGATTTTGGAGTTCAAGAGTCTTGGATTCAGTTATTTAAAATTAGTTATACTTATTTCTTTAAATGGTTGGATTTGTTGCCGTTGTATCTTTCTGAAAATGGTGATACATTGATATTGGCAAATGATGAGTACGACGAGGCATTTATCTATCACCACAAAAACAATAGAGTAGAGAAAATTGAAACTACTGACGATATACTGTGGTCACAGAGCAAGAATTACATTGAAAGTTTGGTTTCAACTAGTTAAAAGTGAGTTTCTCTTCCACATTTTACTTGTTTTAATATATATTAATTCATGTATGTTAGCAACAAGCTTCTATAATTTTAATGATGTACCGTTTTTCATGAATAAATACTATATAACATAGTGTCTTTTTTATTGTTTACTTCATCATCTTGTGTGTTTCTCTTCATGTATGCTGAACTGAGTTGTTTGCTATCTAATGCAATATCAATTTTAATTTTAATTTTGAGGAAACCCATTTAGTAATATGGATTTTGGAGTAATATCACTTACTGGTTATAGAAATGATAATATTAGTGTTGAGATTCTTTTCTTTTATATTTGTAAGCATGTGAAGTTCTTTGATGGATTTTTTTGCCAGTCTTCTCAAGGCATCATATTGCAAAACGATGAGATTCATATTTTGAATCTAAGTTATTTATTATCTTTCGCTGGTATCAATGTTTTATGGTTAGGTATGTTCTTACAATTTTATCTTACAACTTTTGCAGATAAAATTACTCCTTCTATGGAATATGGACATGTGGACACTATGGCAAGAGAAATATAGAATGTGCTCTTTTCGTTTTCCCTTCAACTAACCTGTTATCTTTTTGTGACTCTTGATTTACTATTCTCTGAGAGTCTGTGATTATTGATTCCATTTAGAGTTTTTAAACACTCTGATGCTTTATCCCTGAGCCATGTTCTGTTTGTCACCTTCTATAATGGTTATTTATGGCCATGATTCTATTGCTTCGTTCTTAAGCAATGAATTGAATATTCACTTGTAGTTTTCACCTAAGTGGGTGATAAGGTGACGGATCTTGTCTCTCTGGATCTCCCTATTTAGATTGCAGAATGTATTCCTTATGTAGTTAAATTAATGTGTATTCGATTGCACTATGTTTACACTGCATTGAGAATTTTTCTCTTTGGAAGAGTGTCATTGGGCTGACTTGGACAAAGATCAGTGAGAGGTCAATGCCTATGATGCTAAAGTTGACAACTTGAAGACCATCATCGATGATAAGAACGATAAAATTTTTCAAGCTTCTGGTCTACTGTTTACCATCGAAATTGGTAAATAAGAGTTAGTCTTTTAAATTCTATATTTTTGGTTACTCATATGATCGATTAGATTGATCTGAGGAAATATGTTTTTGGTTTCTTCTAGTTTTATCACTTATGAACATTTCAACAATGTTCGTTTCGTTGAAAGTAATGTTAAAATTTGTAAAGAAACGCAAAAATGTAAATAGCAATGTAAATAACTTTAAAGTAAATTTACAACGAATGTAATTAACAAAATCGTAAATGATTTGATATAAAAAGTGTAAGAAATGGTGATCACACGTACATTGCACTCAGAGACTCGTTTCTCAACAACACAGATACTGAGTAATATTTGAGTTTTTGTACAAAATAAAACACATAATTCTAATCACTAAGATCCCTATCTATAATAAAGTCGAAAATAACGGTAACAAACGATCTCTTCTCCATAAAATGACATGTTCTCAATTGCATGAATTTCACTACTTAAAGCTTTCCACATGCCTTCTCAAGAAACAGGTAAGGCTAAAAAACGATTATTAGCCTTATTTTGAAAACGGTTATTAGACTTATTTTGAATTACGCTCGTTGAACGCAACTCCAAACGAACATCTTCGTCGAACTTAAGTCTGAATCCAAGAATATTACTAAGTCCTAAACCAAAATCTCTCTCTATGTAATGGGTCTTCTTCGACTATGCCTTCACAAACTTTTCATCGAAATCAATATATTCTTTTCCAGAATATTTCCTTTAGCTTTTACTGGCTTATTTCAAATACTCCTAAGCGTCGAAATTCCAACTAACAAACTGTCCCTCAAAAATGTCGTTTTCGACTATATGGAGAAAAAACATTTTTTGAAATGTTTCGATGCAACAACACCTTTACTGCTATGACTTCATGGTCATCATGACCATGTTTCTTCAAACCTCTCATCGAGATGTGCGAAATTCTCAATTAATCATCACACTCCTATTTCCTAGGAGATCGTGGGCCACACTAATTGTCACTGTCTAATCATCCTTTCTCTGATTAACATGTGTCCCACGATCTTCAATAACTATTAACATTTTGAAATGAAACGTTTTTTCATCCCACTATAAGTACCTCACTTCACCTTCTTTCTTACTTTTTCATTCTTCTGAACTTTTCTCCATTCTGAAGCACAAAAAAAACTCTTCATTTTCTCTCAACAAAGCTCCAAACAAATTAGATTTCTTCCAAATTTTCCATTATTAATGGCGTCAAAAACCAAAAACTCCAATGACTCCAAGAAACAAGCATTCATTCATCCTGTTCACAAGATCTTAGGCCCCAACGTCGTGGGAAACAAATAATACATTACGAAGCACCCTCTTGAAGAAGAGAAGCGACGTATTTATCAGTCACAAATATTAATTCCTATCTCAATCTCTGGAAAAACGCATGAACTTGCAGGTCCTTTACCAGATGTTAATGCTAAACCTGAAAGACTCAAAGAGTATTTTCCAACTTACCACCGAACCAAACCAATAGCTAGTAGGAAGAAACCTAAAACTGGTAGTAAGATTGTGAATGCTGAATCAAATATTGTAGTAGATACCCAGGCAAAGTCTTCGACTGAGCCCATAGAAAAACCTATCAACTTAGACTATATGAGCAACGCTCTTAGAGTGGTTTGCTTTTGCCCCTTGTCCAGAGATCCCGAAAATTATTTGTCTTGTCTTGCAAAAATAGAAAACCAGAAAGCCCAAACTTCGAAAGAAATGGAGATCTTCGACATGATTCAATTGTCAAAAGTTGGACCTAGCTATTGCCAAACTATGCTGATAACTTCCCTATACTTTTGAGATAACACTCACAACAACTTTTACTTCCCTTGTGGGATGTTGACTCTAACCCTTTTCGGTATTGTTGCGATCACTGGTCTGTTAGAACACAAATTGGTTCTTAATTATATCTCTATGTTTTGATGATAACTCTTACAAAATTTTGTATTAAGAAATTATATACTCTAAAATTTGTTCAAGTATTTTATACTGCAGATATTAAAGTGAATATTATTCTGAAAGAAAATTAGATCTGAACATGAAAATATGCAAGGCTCTGAAGCATCAGAAGCATCTCTTAGAAGAATCTGAACGCTGCCTACAGAAGATTCGGAGCGCTGTCTACAGAAGAATCTGATGCAGAAACTACAGAAGAATCTGAAGCAGAAGCCACAGAAGCATCTGAAGCATTGAAGACTCTTGTATAAAGAGTTTCAAGCACAGTTTTTCAAAAGACTCTGATAGTAATGTACGCTGCAAGTACTGAGAATCTGATCCCAAACTCTGCTCTAAATTATTACACGCTGAAATCACACTTGCTGCAATGCTCTGATTCAGCAAACTCTGATGAACATCAAAGACTCTGATCAATCAACGCTCTGATGTTATTTGCTGAGTATTAGAAACTTGTTGAAGAAGAATTCAAAGTTATTGTTGCACCCCAAAATTTGACCAACCTCTCTGGCTTATGTTTTATTTCATCTGCACCAGCATATTGCATAAAAAATTACATGGCATGTCATTACTTACAGGGATCAGTAAAATGTGTATTCAAAAAATATAATGTATGTAGGCCTCATCAAAAAAGAATTTTGGGCTCAAATTATCCGAGGCAGGGAATGTAATTGTTTCAGATGGAGAATAAAGAGGTCATTTTCTTAAGAAAAGAAATAATTGAGGCAAAATGCATAAGGTGGGGTTTGAACCCACCACCTTTTGCTCTACAATTTCTCACCTTTACCACTCAGCCAAACGAGCGCTTGTGATTACAAGGAGAAAGGAAAAGTATATGTTTTAAGACTTGAAGACAAAGGCGCATGAAATAAAAATATGGTGGATTTTGTTCCCACCAAGATTCGAACTCATGACCATATGATAAACGCACGCTTGACTTAACCACTGGGGTGGCGATACATCCATTGATTATCCCACCCCAGTTTTGTTAAGTAGCTTGTTTCGTTCATAGCTGGGCAGAAATTGGAAGAGCAAAATGACCGTGCGTGAGGAAGGGAAAATTGGGCAAAACTGAATCATTTTCAATGATTCAAAATTCCATTCCATTTGATTTTTTGCAAGGTTTACTATGGTGTAGATATTTTTGATGATTGAGGATGGAATTTCAAGCTATCAACCAATTTGCAATGTGGAGCATTTGGCTTTTCATGTTTGAATTGTACTGCAGTTTTCCATTTCAAGGCCAAACACCAAAGGTACTTGCTCTGGGCATTTTCTGAATCTATCACCAATATAGGCAAGAGCCAGCAGCCACTACAACCTGCTGCAAACCCTAGTTTGTACTACCATCTCACTCCAACAACAGGACACGAGGGAAAAGCTCAGCAGAGGATTTTGGATTTCAAATTGGAATATAAAAGGATTAGGTTTAGGACAAACCCTAGCAGCCACCATCACCAAGGCATTTCAGAGTTTTATTTCTTGAGTTTTTTGAAGCTGCTCTCAAAAGAGATTGGCTCGCTGCAAACAAGGAGGTTCTTCAAAGTTCTTTGATTATTAAGTTCCTGTTTCTAGGTATGGATATCTGGTTTTATTTTTATCATATGCATACATCATGATTGGGTGTTGTTCCATTAAGCTTGTTTTCAACTTTACACATGTTTGAAAAAAAGTGAATGCTCATGGTGTCCTGTTTGAATCCTGTTGGCATTTAAGCATTATATGTGTCATGTGTTTGGCTAGCTGTTGATTTTGTTTAAAATGACTAAGAACACTGCTGGTTTTTGAGTACACAACCTGTTCTGTATTTCTGTTTATGTAAACCTCCTGAGTTTTAGTTTTGGCTATGCTGTTATGAAAATGCTGAATGTTTGTTGGGATTGTTTGCTTGTTGGGATCTGGACTACTTGGTGACTTGCTCGAGTGATGTGCTATGATCACAGCTTGTATGTGTTTTGTTTTTCACCACCTTGTTAGTATTTCTTCT